CGGTCTAATTAGCATATTATGCTTTTATTATTAAAGATAAAGGGAAGACTTCAGAAATACTCTGATTAGAAGTTGGAATGGGGAAGATGGAGGTGGGCTAAGTAGAAGCAGGAAATGTTATGATTTTGAGACCATTTCTGGCTCACATTTGACCACTCAGAGAAAGCTAAATACTAGTAAATAACTTTCCCGAGATATAACTGACACATAACAAACTCCACATTTTTAAAACACACATATTACCTGTGATATACATACACACCATGAAACCATTACCTGTGTATCCATCACCCTAAAGTTTCCTTCCACCTTTAAATCTTTCTCTTACTTCCTCCCTGTTTCCTTTCCACTCCCAAGCAACCACTGGTCTGTTTTTTGTCATTATATTAGTTTTCATTTTCTAGAGTCATATAAATGGACTCACACAGTATGTCTTTCTCTCTTCTTTCTCTCATGCTTCTTTCATCAACATATTTGTTAGATAAATTTTGCTAAGAATTTTTGCATCTATAAATATGTGAGATATTGGTCTGTAGTTTTCTTTTTTGTAATGCCTCTCTCTGGTTTAGCTATCAGGGTTAATTTTGGCCTCATAGAGTGAGTTGAGAAGTATTCCCTGTTCTTCAATTTTTCATGTGTTTGTGTAGAATTGGTGCTATTTCTTCCCCAAATGTTTGGTAGAATTCACCAGTGAAGCCATCTGGGCCTCTAGTTGTTTTTTTCTTTTTAACTGCAATTTTAATTTCTTTATTAGATATAGGAATATTCAGATTATTTTTTTTTTTGAGCGAGAGAGAGAGAGCTTGGTAATTTATGTTTTTTTCAAGAAAATTGTCCTTTTTATCTATGTTTTCAAATTTATTGACATAAAGTTGTTCAAAATATTATATCATTCTTTTAGCATCTGTAGAATCTGTCACCACTTATTTCTGATATTGGTAATTTATATGCAATTTTCCCTAATCAATTTGTTTAGAGGTTTATCAGTTTAATTTCAAAATTCAGCTTTTAGTTTTCTCTATTATTTTTTGCTTTTCTGTTTTAATGATTTGGCTTTAATCTTAATTATTTCTTTTCTCCTTCTCACTTTGGATCTAACTTGCTCTTCTTTATCTAATTTCTAAAAGTAGAAGCTGAGTCATTGATTTAATACCTTTTCTGATATAGGTGTTTAGTGTGATAAGTTTCTCTTGAAGTACTCTTCTCAATTACATTCCAAAAATTTTGATATGTTGTATTTTCATTTTCATTCAGTTCAAAATGTATTCTAGTTTCCATTTTTATTTCTTATTTGCTTAATGGTTTATTTAGAAGTATATAACACACTGCCCCCCCCCCCAATTTTGAGGTATTTGCCAAGAATCATTATGCTATTGATTTCTAATTTAATTTCATTGTGATCAGAGAACATATCTAGTATGAACTGAATCCTTTTGAATTTACTGAAATTAAATTCGGGCAGCAGTAGAGGTGCTGCTGGCCCTGATGGGGTCCCAATGAGAGCGGGACCATGGCGGGATGGTGGAGCAGGTGAGCAGACGGCGCCAGGTGAAGGCAGGGTGCTGTGGGGCTGCGAGGCTGAGGGCGTGAGCTGGGGCTGTGAGCCTGGGGGTGCGAGCTGAGGCTGATCCCCACAGGCCACCCTGAGGGACTCCGCCCATGCACGAATTCGTGCACTGGTCCCCTAGTGTTATATATTTACCCTGTAGTTATTTCCAGTGCTCTTCATTGTATAGATCCAGATTCCCTTCTGATATCATTTTCCTTTTGCTTGAACTACCTACTTTAACTTTTTTCATAGTGAGGGTCTGCAGATGATAAAATCTATCAGTTATATGTGGAAGCATTTTTACTTCATCCTCATTTAAAAATATTTTTGACAGATATTCCCTAGCTGGTTTGGCTCAGTGGATAGAGCATCAGCCACGAACTGAAGGGTCCTGGGTTTAATTCCCGTCAAAGGCACAAGCTTCGGTTGCAGGCTCGATCCCTGGCTTTGGTCCAAGCATGTGCAGGAAGCATCCAAATAATGTGTCTCTCTCACATTGATGTTTCTCTCTCAGTGTCTCTTCCCCTCTCTTCCCCCTCCCCCCCACTCTCTCAAAAAAAAAAAGGAGTCAATGGAAAAATATCCTTGGGTGAGGGTTAATAACAACAACAAATACATATTTTTGACAGCTATAGAACGATAGGTTGATAGGTTTCGTTTTCTTTCAATACATTTAATATATGCTAGTGTCTTCTTGCTTGTAATGTTTCTAATGAGAAATATGATGTCATCCTTAGTTTTGTTCCAATGTAATGTTTTTACTCTCTGGCTGCTTTTAAGATTTTTTTCTTTATCATTGGTTCTAAGCAATTTGACTATTATGTGTGTATGTTATATGCTGTTGAGTTGGCCCCAACTCTTGGTGACCAGATGAATGAGTGATGTCCACAATGTCCTATTCACAACAATGCTACTCAGTTCCTGTAGACCTGTGCCTATGGCTTCTTTTATGGAGTCAATCCATCTCATATTTCACTGCATGTTGTGGTCATCTTTTCCCACTGCCTTTTAGATTATTATATACCTTGATGTAATGTTCTTTGTGTTTCTTGTGTTTGGGTTCTATTGAGTTTCTAGAAGGCAGGGTTGTGGGTAAAGATGCTGTGAGGAGATTGACTTACTGATGGGAGTTTATGGAAGTTTTCTTCAGATTGATTCAATGTTGTCAGTGGAGTAGGAAGCAAGGTTATTGGCTGAGACTAAGAGATTTGGGGCATGAGAGAAGGTATAAAGTTGTCATTTAGGAGGTTAGAAGAATCAAAGGAGCAGGGAACTGTAATATAGTCTTCAGGCATCTTTAAGGGTTTAACTAAAACTAATAATCATAAAGTCTGCTTGGTTAGTTGTTTTTCTCTTCCCAGTTTCAGCTGCAAGGGTGCAGATGTTACAGTAACTCAGAGTGGGCCAGGGAGTTGAGAGTGTATGCAGGGAATGATTATACTGATTGATCACTGGATATATCTACATCAATCTTCCTTAAACAGGGTGGAAGCTATTAGAAGGCAGTTTTTTTTGTTTGTTGTTTTCTTTTATTTTTTTGTTTTTGCATCTAGGTGTTGAATATGTATTTGCTGATCCATGTATGGGTGTGTGTTAGTAGTAGAAAACCAGGGGTTAAAGGAAGTTGTCTTTTGGAGCAAATTAACTCCGTTTTTGATGACTGCTTTGTAAAGTCCTTCACATGGCCTACTCAGCTCCGCCTGTCCCGGCTCCAGACCATTAGGGCAGGTAACTCATACCAAGCGCCCACAGTTCTCTGAACTCCAAACATACTGGACTTTCCCCCCAACTTTTGCATTTGGCACGCATGTTTACATATGTGGCTCCCTCTGCTTTTCAGCTTCCTGAGTAATTAAAACATTCCTATAAGCTTAGTATTTACTTAGTATGCCTACTTCTTAGCACTTGTCACAGTTTTAATTTTACGTTTGTGTCACTGATAGCTGTTTGCTACTATGCTGTAAGCTTCCTGTGAACAGGACCTGGCCTGTTTTTAGGCCCTGCTGAATCTAGCATAGTCTCTGGCACACTGGTAATAAACATTTATAAGTAAGTAGAGGTGAAAGCAAGTAAGTGTGATGTGTGAATCTTGGTGTGGAGAGCATCATTTTCCTTTTAGGGAATTCAGAGACTTCACAAGAAACTTGCTAATGCTACATGCCAACCTCCAAAGCTTGGCCTGGAATCCCATGGAGCAGTGGTTCTCAACCTTTCTAATGCCGGGACCCTTTAATTCAGTTCCTCATGTTGTGGTGACCCCCAATTTCATTGTTACAAATTGAACATAATTAAAGCATAGTGATTAATCACAAAAACAATTGTAATTATATATGTGTTTTCCAATGGTCTTGGGCGACCCCTGTGAAAGGGTCCTTCGACCCCCAGGTTGAGAACCGCTGGCTAGAGAGTATTTGGGAGGAAGGTCGGGCGCAGAAGAACCTTTTAATCCCACAGTCCCTGTGGGAGCCGCCTGCGCACTGGCCTCGCCGGATGTACGCAGGGGAGTGGGGCGGGGCTTCCGTAACCTAGGCAACAACCCGGAAGCGGCGGGCTGCGTTTACCTGTGGCGGGCCGGCCGGTTCTGGTGCCTGAAGTTTTTGGTGGTGGAAAGCGGCGGTCGGAACGGCCAGGCAGGTTGAGGTGACGGGTCGGAGTCCTGCAGGCTTCAGCCCCACCGAGTTGTAGGGACCCGGCTACAGCGCGCGGTGGGGGCGCCTTTCGGTTCCCTGGGGACCCCGGCGCCTGGGTAGAGGGTCCTGACGACGGGAAGCGCACCCGCGACTCTGCGTGTGTGGAGAGAGTGTGTGCGTTTCTGGATGTGTGTCCG